ACACACATATATTGATTTCAGAGAGGAAGGGAGGAGAGAGAGATAGAAACATCAATGATGAGAGAGAATCATTGATCGTGCTGCCTCCTGCATAATCCCCACACTGGGGATCGAGCCTACAACCCAGGCATGTGCCCTGACCAGGAATCGAACAATGACCTCCTAGCTCACAGGTCGATGCTCAACCCCTGAGCCACTGTGGCCGAGCTGTATCATTTTATTTTAAAAGGTCTTAAGAATGCTGCAAGTTCAGGCTTGACAGATTTGCTCCTGTCAAACCCAAGACACCTTATAAAACAAGAAAAAAAGCACTAAGTAGGCCCTTTTGATCCGGTTTAGTAAGGCAACAAAACAAATCTGCGGTTTGATTTTGTTTTGCTTTAGAACTAGTGTGTCATTACAGATCATGAGCTGCAATTTCACTTCACTGATGAGGAAATTAAGACACAGAGAGGTTAAATGACACAGAAACACAGACCCTCTGAATAGAGGGGAACTTAGTTACAACTCCAAGCCTACATTTTTATCCAATTAAAAATAATGTCATTTTTTTTACAAGCTAAAAGTTTGCCAAAAAACTCTTTAGTTCTAAGTTTAATAACAAAGTTAGCAAACCTATCAGTTTTATCTGTCTTCTATATTAAAACCATTAAGTCTTTGTCTTTTGTCTTAAACATCAAGAAGCTCAGAGAGAATTTAGTGCCCAAGCAGAACCCCACTTCCTAGTCGTGGTTTCTGGGGGTTATCTCATCCTTTCTTTGTCACTCAGCTTTTCACAAACTCAGTCACTATTAGTTGAGCATCTGTGATATGTCATACAGTGTCCTGGGTGCTAAAGAGACACTAGTGAACAAATCATGAGAACACTTCCTGTCTTTGTGGAAATTAATTACAGAAATATGTTACAGTAGGTTAGTGTTATGGACAAAATAAGCAGGAAAAGAGATCAGGGTTGTGGGGTGCGGTTCATCTTGAAAGAGTGGTAGTGAGCATAAGGGTGACATCTGTTGCATCCAGACTGGAAGGGAGAAGGGGGAGGAGTAAGCCAGCATCAAAGCTATTGCAGGCCCTAGGAACAAGTGCAGCAGCGGTCCTGATGTGGGAGCATGCTTGGCCCGCATGAGGCATCTTTTCGTTGTTGTTTATTATTTTAAACAACACATTTTTCTTCATTGAAAGTTCCGTCAAATACTTTGGAAGAAGGTCAGGAACATGCATGCAATCGTAAGTGCTGCAAACAACCTTCAGACACTATGACACCTCAGAAGAGTTTTTAGTGGTTGGCTATTGCAATGACACTTCACCTTGCCCCTCCTACTCCCATTTCTTCTCCACTAGAGATCAAAACATTGACTTCCTAAAACTAACTCACAGAAGTAAAATAAAATAAAATAAAATAAACCTGCTCTGGGGGAAAGGCCCAACTTAATGAAGGAAATCAATCACACTGCAATGCAGAGAAGCCAGATCGCAGTGACTACCTCTCTTGAACTTGTAACCCACGGTATCTATATCCAGTGTTTAACATTAAGCACTGCCTGGTATTGTCACTCTGTTTACATCTCATTATTTGCTACTTTGGATTGTTGTGTACACATCTGCTCTCACAGTGACTTCCCTGGAGCAGGGCCCATATATTGGAAATGTCTGAATCCCATCACATGACTGCCCATGGATGGCACAAATATTTGTTTGACAGCTTAATTTTGTTTGACGGTGATGTCAAAGAAACTACCACAATGAGCAGCAGACATCCTCCTGTTTTAAGTATCTGTTTGTGGATAAACCATGAACGAAACACCATCGTCTCTTACAGACATTTGGATAATCTCAACAATCTTGGGCAAGTTACTGTTTGTGTAACATTCCATTCTGTCTACATTTCCCTTTGCATTTTCAGTTGGGCACAGGACACACTTTCCGTCTAGACACAGCAGAGATTAGCCACAAAACACAAAGGAGCCACACGGCGCTGTGTGAAATCCTGTTCAGTTCGCTTCAGTCAATGTTATTAAACACTATGAAAGGAAAGGGACTCAACACGAAACTACCAGATACAAGGAATATAAGTCACTGTCCATACAGTCTAGCAAGACAAACCAACACATAAGGAGTAACTTCAGTGGATGTAAAACACACAGAAGTATTTTGAAAGTATATAAACAGTGGCTTGGAGGGCCAGGGAAGGCTACACAGAAAAGCTGGCACCTGAACAACCAGGGCTTGAAAGATGAACAGGCCTAGGACAGTCAGACAGAGATCAAAGGGCATTCCAGATTGTGCAAAAGACACTGGCAGAAACATAACATTGAAAACTGCTGGAAGAATGCATTCAGCGCCCGTGAAGGAAAACAGGTCTGCTGCCCTCCTAATCTTTCCGGGAAGGGGGGGGGGGGGGGGGCGGGGAGAGACACAACAAAAAAACCACCAAGCTTTCAAATAAGGAGCAAAGGAAGAAGTTTCACCAGCACTTGTTTTGTTAAACCTCTTGGCTTTGCTTTGCCCTTTCTGTGTTGTTCCCTCTTAAATAAATACAGTACTGTGCTGGAGAGTTCAGTGAGGAAAAGTACTTCAGCTTGACTGTGGAAAAAGAAAAACTGAAAAAATGGGCAAGGGCCAAGGAATAAACAAATTGCCCTTCTGAAATAGATAAATGGGAGCACATTTTAACAGGAAGCACTACCTGGTATTGTTACTCTGTTTACACTGCATTATGCTACTTTTTAAAATCAGATGATCATGGACCCTTCTGTCCACCAAGTCCATCCAGACTTATTTTATGTTCACAATGTTAGTCTGCGACCCCAGGCCTGAGAGGCATTCTCGTCGCCCTCCTCTTTGGGCAGGCTCTTGCTTGCAATCTAGTAAGAGAAACAAAGCCCAGGGCAATTCCCTGTGCCCTGTGCCTTCCGCGGCTGCCAACCAATGCCTGAAGCTCAGAGCAGAGTTAAGTTCCAGCCAGGTTAACCAGTGAGGAAAAAACACACACTGGAATAATTACATTTCAACCACTGACTTGCAAGAAACTGTCAGAGGCTCCCGGGAAGGGTGGGGAACACCTCTGCCTGCGAGGGGCCTGGCTGGCCAGTGACTGGGGATGCTGGTGGGGCGCGGAGCAGGGGACGGGGCGCGGTTACCTGGGCGCTCAGGTAGACTTTGAGGCACTCCTCGCACACGGCCTTCTTGCAGCAGGGCAAAGGCTATGATCGGACTTGTCTTTCAGGCACACCCGGCACAT